AAAATCCTCCCCACTAGTTGACCAATATGCTTCTTTACAAGTCAAGTTTAACATGCATTTTTGACAGCCCTTCCAACCAATGGAGATCAGTCAACATCCCTGTAATGCTAATGCCCACTGGGATGTCTTACTATTGTACCTAAAGTGCAGAAATACTACCATCCTCGGAAACATGACCTTGCGCATGTGAGAAAGATTATCTGTGTGGACCTGAAATTGCAAGAATCTAGAATAACTGCCTTGAAGATAAACGAGCCGGATACGTTCAGCTTAAGATTTAAATGGACATCTTTCATCTTGCCGCCAACAAATGAGCTGCTGTAATAGACGTTACGTCTTTTGTTTGGATCAGTGCTTTTTGGAAATTTGGTAGAAGGAGGGAGGGAGATAAAGATGGCGAAGGGAGGCTGACTAATCACTATAAATTAGTTTTTATTTCGAATAAAACACACTGAATAAGAACTCCTCGGCATGTATCTACGTGCCAGGAACATCGTCGATAAGCCTCCGGGGTTAGGGCTCGACGTGAAGGCGTATGATTATGAACATTAGTGGCTCAACTGCTTCTTAAACAGTTAACATTTTGCTCTTAGGGACAGTGGCCATGCTCCAACGGACCCTAACACCTGCTCTAGTCCTCGCACTGCCCGAGATTGGCTCTCCAACGTCTCGGGCTACTTAATTTGTCGGAGGACGGAGGACTTTTCCTTAAAAAGCGCTCAATGACGAGAGCGGCGGACGGTTGCATCCAAGCCGGGGTTCATCAGTGTGTATAGGCAAAGTGGATGTAACTTCGACGAGGCCCGTCCAGTGCTATTGCGCGGCTAATTAGCAGACCACTTGTGGTACTTGCCGTTCCCGTTGGGGGCGAAACCACGTTTTCATTTCTAACGTCCAATCTGTAATGAGTAATACTGACGTCTTCTTACAAAATAGATTATTCACCAAAACGCATCAAGTCTATGCGTTCCGCAATGATAAAATCTGCTACTTTTGCCGGAATTCTTTTGATTGAGTGCATGACTCTCAAAAATCGAGCAGACTCCGGTCTTCAGACCACCTATTTGGTAAAAAAATTGTTGATATTCTTTAACGACCTATTCGCGCATACTAGAACGGTCTCTAAGAACGGTCATGCACATCGTAAATGCTATACCCAGGCAGCCATATGTAGTGGTTGTGACCTATTATATTGGCCGAAATCGGTTAATTTGTCCATGACTTTCCGCATAATAAAGTGCAACAAAGGATCAACGGCAAGTATGATTTATTAGGATATCGGAACAGGTATGAGAGCCGAGAGCTTCCTCCCAAGAAGTCGTAGATTCTCGAGTATCTGGAACTCCTACCACACCTAATCGAAAAGAAAAATTCAAGTCTTGAAGTTATTTTCCATGCCCGCCAATCTGCTTAATGGTGGAATCGCACGGCTTCTCGTGGGTGCGAACGCCTCAATCAGGTCAAGGAACGTCCGCTTGGTAATACGGGAGCACACTAGAGTGCTTTACAGGTATATATATGCATATGCACACATATGTGCCCATTTGTAAGCTATTGTAGCAAGTGCTATCCTCAAAATGCTTGGAAAGAACCTGCGGTTCGTATTTTTATCAATGACATTTCAACTGCTCTGCTGCACAAACTTAGAGAACCACGTGAAAACCGAAATCGACGGGGGTCATGTAATTTACGGGAACAAGTACGAAGCGGAAAATTTGGCTGGAGTGACGAGACCGGTGCACGAGTATCTGGGAATCCCCTTTGCTAAGCCACCAATTGACAAACTTCGGTTCGCCCCTCCGCAACCCCTGGACGAGAAACAGACAGAAATTCAGGCACGAACTATGTCCAAATCCTGCTGGCAGCCAGGAGCAGGTGGCTTCGAGCATAACAATCCCGGTGCACGCATGTGGTACAATAACACGGAAATGTCCGAAGACTGTCTCTACTTGAATGTCTGGACGCCATTCAAGCCTGACGTGTATTTACCAGTTATGGTATGGATCTTTGGCGGCGGTTTCTACAGTGGGTCGGCGAATCTGGACGTATACAATGGACGCTTCCTTGCTGGCAGGGAGAACGTGGTGGTGGTCTCAATGCAGTACAGACTGGGTGCCCTGGGATTCCTCTGTCTGAATGCCAGCCAGACTGGTGGAAGTCAATTGGCAGCATGCAACATGGGTCTGCTGGATCAACAGATGGCACTGAAGTGGGTAAATAAGCACATACGGGCATTTGGAGGGGATCCCAAAAAGGTAACTCTCTTCGGAGAATCGGCCGGCAGCGCAAGCGTTGGTCTGCACTACCTATCGCCAGTCTCTAGACCTCTCTTCTCCCAGATGATTATGCAAAGTGCCAGCATGTTCAACCGATGGGCGCTGATTGCACCAGACGTGGCCTACGAGCGAAGCGCCGCGGTAAGTGAAGTGCATTCGCAATACCTCTTCTTCTCTCCCCCCTCTAAAAATCAAATTCAACTTCTGTTTCCAAAATGGTATCCCAATAAAGCAAAGCACGTCATTTACCTTTGACCACAGATGCATCCGAAATATTCCCCCTGCTCTCCCTACTTAAATGTGATCATAGCTGGCTTAAATGTTCTGTTTAGGAAATGGGACACCTTGGTGCGTCTTCACTAAAGTTAACTGAACTTTGATCAAAGCATTAGAACACTCATTCTCTGCTTGACATTCTATTTACATTAATCGGAAACTTCGCATCGGCTTCTAAAAGTTTCGCCTTTATTCCTCCTGTTTTTAGTTTTCTAAAGCGTGTGGATGCCTGGTCAGTGGTACCGAGTCCGTCGAGGAACAGGTGAAGTGCCTTCAAAAACTCCAGCCACACGAGCTCGTAGAGAGTGCCTCAGCCGTGTACACTGCCAGAGCGAAGCGACGTGCAGACCGCTTGGCCCACCTGTCGCCGCCCATCGACCCCTTAGATTACGCAGATTCTGCGATATACGCCTCGTTTGAATTCGCGCCGACGATCGACGGCTCGTTCCTGCCGGACTGCCCGGAACGTCTTCTTACCCAGATGGTCCTAAATTATACAGACTATGTGCCACCAAAATTGTTGATAGGGACAATGGAGAAGGAGGGCATGTACTGGCTTCTCTATGGACTTGGACTGAAGAATGTGCAGTTCCTCTTTGAAAATGGCACGGTATCCTTGCCAGATGAAGATACATTTAGGAAGGCAAACTTTGATATCTATCGCCTGCTCACAGCAAAGTTCATGAGCGAACAGGATCTCGAGCATCCATTCACGACAGTCATGACCACTACGTACGGATTCACAAGTCCAGGCCTCCGTGAAGTTCCCAACACCACTACCGGATTGCGGGAGTTCGTCGTGGAAAATTCGACTGAATTTATGAATCAGATGGATGCCATTGCTGGTGACATTGAGTTCACGTGCGGAACGTATAAATTTGCCCAACTCGTTGCAGAGCTGCCGAATGCCATTGTTTATGTCTACAATTTTGTGCACAAAACGCGCAATAACGGTTTTCCCGACTGGACTGGCGCTATGCACGGCTACGAGATTGACTACGTCTTCGGAATGCCATTTTCTGATACTTTTAAGCGCAACTTTTATAATTACACTGCTGAGGAGACAAGGCTGAGCGAAACTGTTATGAAGTACTGGGCAAATTTCGCTCGTACTGGGTAAGTTTGCAACTAATATACGAATTAGTAAGAAACAGAGCTAGTAATGCAGTTTCACAAAACGTCCTCTTTTCTTCAGAACTCCAGCACGAAATGCAGATGGGACCAGGGTCCAACCAGACTGGCCGGAGTATGACGCGGAGTCAGGCAAGTACATGGAAATCGGCATGGATCAGGCGGTCAAGGCTCATCATCGCAGGGAGCAGTGCAATGTTTGGAACGTTGATTTCCCCTCTCAGATACGAAAGCATTTGAATGATAAGGGTGCAGAAATCCCACGTGATGTATGTCCGAACATGGAACCATACCTTTATGATCGTCGTGCGCTCTCTGAATTTGTGTAGATGAACACTCCTGTCCTGAATTTTGGAAATGGGTGTTTGGTGGTGGGAATAGAACAGTCAAAATTATATTCATTGGTTTATTTAAAATAAAAGAACGCGACAGATCTACCATTTTGATGAACTAAGGTGCACCTACAGTTGGCTTAGAAGCATCGTGTTAGAGTTTGTCCTGTCCGCATCTTGGAAACTAGCAATGGATAATAAATATAACCGAGATAAGCCAACGTACCGAAGCGGCGTGTTCTGGAGACAGCGTTCTCAGCCACGATAGCGTGAGCCCAGCCAGCTTACGGTGACCCTACTCCGAGCGCCTATCTCAACGCCGGGCCTCTCGCAAGTGTATGTACGTGCGCACAAGCTCTGTCTGACGTCAGTCAACTCGGCTTTCCAACTGGCCAACCAGATTCAAGGCCGAGTCAGACGTGTCCTGGCTTCAGTCAGTGTCAGTCAGTATATTTGGAGTAAGTGGCAGAAGCCCTTAAAATTCCATTTAACCGGTACAGGTGCTAACATTTTTGCATGTTGCTTTAGCAAGCAGGATGCATAAAATTAATGGTGAAGGATACATATGACAAAGGTATGGCGTCTGTGAAATAACAGGGAAAAACACGTTTACGCATTCGCAGGCCAAGGTTAATGTACACAAAACGATCTGTTGAAATCATTTAAGTGGCACGTTTAAAGTCACTTCAATAATCCGCTGGATGGGATATAAGAGCTCAGATTGCCTTTTAACAGGTGATCACCCAGGTGTCGCTTGAACACACTAACGGTGGGGGAATCTATAACATAAATCGGCAAAGAATTCCATTGGCGAATGACCCTCTGCGAGATGAAGGAGTGTTGATTGCTGTGGCACAATCCTTTTTTTAGCTGGCATTCACGTCGTCTGAGATTAATCTTTGGTGCCATTTTAAAAAGAGTTTCCCAGTTTACATCCAGATCAAGTCCTCTAAGCAGCTGAAACGCTGCTATAAGGTCATTTCTGTCCTGTCTGTAGTGGAGAGGATAGAGATTTCAGGCGGTCAGGCGTTGCGCGTATGTAACATTTTTGAGGCCATGAACAGCCTTTGTACGCCTTCAAAAATATCCTTCCGAAACCACTACCGCTAAGTCTGTACCGCATATTCCAGGCGCGGCTACAAAAATTCCCCATATACCTTGCCAAAGACATCGACATTCAAATTAATAAAGGTTCTTCGTATCGCGTTCATAATTCCCATTGCCCGCGCTGGGACCTTAGAACACTGCTTGGTGACGCCTAAGTCGTATTTAATGAATACGATAAGGTCTTGTCGTTCACCTACGGTTTTAACTAGTTAATTGTCTAGGCGATACCGTCGTGGGGGTGCATTTATTCTTCGCCCTGCTGATATTATATGTATAACTACAATTTTGACGTCGAATTTCATGCACCACTCTTCGCTCCATGTGTGCAAATTCTCTAGGTCCTCTTTTAGCCTCTGCGCGTCTTCTTCATCTTTTATCAACTTCCACAGTTTAAGATCATCTGCAGAGGGCGCTATGTCCGATTTTACTCCCAGTACTTGGTAATTTGCATAGATAATGAACAGGAGCGGCCCAAGAACTGAACCTTGTGGGAATCCACTTTTAGCAGGCGTCCAGTCTGAGCAGTAGCCACCCGCAGTAACTTTTTGTCCGCGACCGTTAAGGAAATCTCGAATTCACTTCAGGAGCTTCTCCCTCATTCCTTCGTCTGACAACTGTTGAATGAGGCGCTTATGCAGAACGCAAGCAATCGCCTTGCTAAATGCAGGATGAGTGCATTTGTTAGCTCTTCCTATACCGGTGATTATCTAAGTGTCTGATGTGGCAGTCCGACACTAAAACATGCTTTTAGTCTTACGTCATGCGATTCTTCACAGTTCTAATCACAACAGAAGCCTCGGGATGGGGAGCCGCAGTTAGAGTGAGCAGTTAGGCATAACAACATGCATTTGCTCATAACTTTGATAATATAAACTTATCATAGTGAGCAGGCACGCAGTTTGCCATGTTTATAACCGTATCAGTGACTTCCAGCGGGTCAGGGTTAACAGTTAGACGTGAGCGCATGCACCCAATCATCTGGTCTAACACAACAGCAGGCGGCTGTATTTATTTCCGATCCTTTCGGTACCTTTGTTCCGGCATGGTTTGGAGTTAGGGGCAGTATTCCCGATATTAGAGAAACGTATGCACACCCTGTTGAATGCCAGGATTTCGAGGACAAAGAGCTAAACAGAGTCTGAATTATCTCCAAAGATGTCTGAGATATAAGGAGCCTTCGGTACTCTACTTCTTATCCCAATTCCTCCCTCTCGATCAACATATTAAGGGTGCTATACGTAAATAAAAAACTGAACTAATCAGATTGTAGCTTGTTTGACGTCGTGGGCCATAAATGTCTTTACAATAGGCTAGGTGTCAGAATGGTTTCTGAAATTTTAGTCTTAATCAGCTGGCTCTTGCTAACTTTTACGCCAGACGCCCTCCCACTTGAACTAATTGTCTACCTCCTTTTTGTTGGGATCGGGGATGCTGAGGGTTGTCCATGGGTTGCTTTTACCGATCTATCCTGATTTGGGGACAGAATGTGTCTTTGCCATTTCCCTTGAGGCTCCGGATCTACAGTTTACACAGGCAGTCACTTGATAGATAGCAACTGAAAACTTAGTGGTGCTATCGCCAATAAGAGTGTATGCTTAGTATTCACTTTCGTTTTATTTTTCGTCACCGGCCATTTAGAGCACCTGAAGTTGCTTGACTCGAGAGTGCTCAGGTGACCAGATGATCGGTTCACATATCAGACGTCCTGTTATTGGTTGTGAAATTCTTTTATGGAAAATGCATATAACAAAGAACGTTGAATTCCATTGGCTCTTCTTTTACGAGAGCATTTCGTTGCCAAGATACTGCATATCGCTGTTTTATGTGTTTATTCACAGCTGAATTGAAAGAAAAAGCATATTTACAGTCAAATTTACGAGCAAATCCAGGGAGCCCCAATGGGATCCCCATTCTCCGGCTACCTGCCTGAGGCGGTCTTGCAGGAACTGGAAACTCGGGTCTTTCCGACCAACAAGCCGAAAGCCTGGATGCGCTACGTAGACGACACCCTTTTCATCCTGCACTGAGACGCGACAGACAACTTTAAAAGAAAATGGGGCTCGGTTTTTCCACAAATCCAATTTACCATGGATAAAGAAAATAACGTAATTTTCCCTTTCCTCGACGTCTAGGTATCGAGGCAGGAAGACGGAACCTCCATAATGGTGTCTTTCGAAAGACGACAGACACTGATAAAATGCTTTGCTACAGCATCAACCATCCCCTGTCGCATAAGCGCAGTTGTGTTCGGACACTTTTTCGCCGCATCCACACACGCTGCAGTACAGAAGCCGAAATTGCATTCGTGCAGGCGAGAAAACTGGGTTTATTAGGAAACCGATGGATAAGCAAATGACTCTTAGCAACCACCGGAAAGTGACCTGTGAAGTTGCACTTGGTTGCCACCTTTTGAAATTTTATGGAATATTGGAGACGCGGAGGCTTACCTTTTGTTATTAGCCGATGCAGTTAGAGAGTAGCTCAGTTGTTTATGTCCATCCCACTTCCGATTCTCGTTTGCCAACTATAGTTAACTGTCTTCCAGTCAATATTTTTAGGTCGTTTGCTATTCTAGCCCTTACTAG